TCTGAGAGGGCTTGGTCAGCTTAAGAGATTCCAAACTACTGTCAGATCTTCCGCGGTTTAATCAACAGTAAATCAACCAAAGGAAATTACAACTTTGACCTAACTAAGGAGCTAGGGGGACTCATTCCCGAGTGACTCTTCCCTTGCTTAAGAACTTCGAACCATTTCCTGCTTTCTTACTGCTTTTGTTTGCAATCACTCTCACTACACTTAGTCCCGCTAGATAACAGGTAGTCACGGAGTAGGCAATAGATCTAGACCCCGGGTTGATAAATTGAACTTGCCACTATTCTGCATTTTCATTCTGCGATTGCACTTGGTCGCAGTTTGATGTTGTATTTTAGCATGTCACTACACCAAAGCACAACGCTACAACAAATTAAAACATCTAAGTCTAAAAATACTGCTACTACTATTGTGTGTGGACTCAAAACCTTAAACTGCTACTACAACAAACACAAACTCCACTACTAGTACCAACTGAATCAGAAATTAAAAATAGAAAAACAGCCGTCAAAACCAGCTAAGATTGATTATCATAATTGAAACAAAACCAAACCAAACCATGGACAATCATCTCTAAACAAATCAGATCCACAAAGAGTAGGTGAATAAAACCACCAAATTGCAAAGCAAACAGGAAACGCCATGCAAAATCCCATTGGTCTTCGGAGATGGAAACAAAGTGAATCCGACAAGAACAACTCTCCTTTTCTGAAATATCAAACTGCAGCCAGAGAGAGAAGATGAAAAGGAACAACGACGACGCGACTAGGACGACTTGGCCACCGGAAGATGAGTTAGGACGGAGCAAAAAAGACCAGAAGAGGGAGGAAGGCGATCTGTTTACACCTAAAAATAATTTGGCCTAAATTTAATGTCGTAATAATTAGTTTCGCCATTTAATTTGATGTTGCATGACAAAAAACGGTGTCGTTTGAAGTCGAGCAACGTCGCGGAGGGTTTCAACGACACCGCGAAGAAACTCGACAGTACTGTGGTAATGGAAACAACGTTGTGTGGTAAAAAAACAATGCCGCAAGCCTAGGCTAAGAATTTATTTGGATCCGCAATGTTGGTGTTGGGGTTGGAGAAGGAGTGTTATTTATTCTTTACCGGAGAAGGATGGGACTCGGCCAAGGTCGTATCTCAACTGCAACCTCGACAATGTTGTAAGAGGAGAGGAAAGCGGCAATGACAAGCAGTGCCGCGGAGGGACTTAACGACGTCGCGGAGGTTGACGACATTGTCGCAATCCAACCAACACCACGAGAATGGAAACAAAGTTGGTTTAATATTAAATCGATGTTGTTGGTAGAATCAAGCGGTATCGTTTGGCTAAAAACAACGCCACGAGAGGTATCAACAACACGGATTAGAAAACGACAGTGTTTAATATTTAAACAATGTTGCGGAGTAAAAAGCAGACGTAGTTGTTTGGGGAAGGAAACGACATCGCGTGAGAACTGACGACGTCGCATGATAAACAATTTCAGCGGTATTGCAAGTTCAACAATGTTGCGGAGCTAAACAATGTCGTACATTCAATTTGTGAATTTGGCTGTGATGACGACATCGCGATGGGTAACAACACCGATCACAGCGATGCCGCTAGGTTAGCTAGACAATGTTGCGAGTCTGACAATGGCGTGGAGTTAAACAACGTTGTTGTTTAATTAGCAGCACCGATGCGGGTCTTGCAAGGACACGATTTCAATTAATAATATGGTTTTGTTAATGATTTTGTGGCTAAAATCCATGACGATAATGAAGCCATGAAATAACAACATTACCGATAATGGCTCAGGTACTTTACACATGTGTCTCACGTGGATAGAAGTGGAGATTGGAGATGCAGTGTCGTTGAAGTTTACAATGTTGCAGCAACAGTGGTTTCTTTCACGGGAGATTCATGCCAACTAGAGTGAAGAGGAGATCAAGGCAGTTGAGACACGTGGGAGTTCACGATGGAGCAGTTGAGAAGCAGTTTCACGGAGCGTGAAGACTACAAAGTTGACTTTAGATAAAATCAACCTTGCTAGGAGAGAGAAGGGGGACCAACAAAATCAACACAGAAAGAACTCTAACAAAACTTACCTTTCTTCTCTGTAACCCCTTCGCGGAGCTCTCCTTCGAGGAAGGATCTCCATAGTCGTTGTAGTAGTCGTAGTCGCGGAGCTCTCTAAAGGAATCTCCATAGGAGTAGTTTTAACGTAAATTCCTAAAAACTCAAACACCCTCGTTCGAACATTGTTTGGAGAGGTGTCAACCGAGTAACGGTCGATCTTGGTTAGAAGTCAAAGGTGCATCGATCAAATCATAATCACTCGGCGGTGGATATTTGACGATCGTCATCATTTTCAGAAGTTAAAGTTGCACCGATCAAATCAACACCGCCTAGTGGATATTTGACAGTCGTTTTGATTTTAGCAGTTAGTGGTGCATCCGATCAAACGGCACTGCAAGAGTTTGCAAAACTATCAAATCAACATTCCCCGAAATGAATTCACCCGACGGTGGATATTTGGTTTCGCCATGGAAACACGATCAGAAATAAGGAGGTGATATCTTAGATCGAAGAGAAAGAAGAAAGAGGAACGAAAATGAAAGAGAAAGAGAGTAAAAGTCTTTTGATTCCTTGAATCTCAGTACTAACTTATCTCCCTTCCCTTCCCTTGAGAAACGGGAAAATAATAAATAAATACCCAAGCAGCCCGGCTCAATATAGGGTGCATAATCTTAGGGTGCATAACTATGAGTAACCAAATTTGGACCATTCTTTTAAGTGGCTGTAGATCTAAGGGTGGAGAATTAAAAGAATTTATTTCCCTAGTTTTCTTGATTGGATCATATCTTCTTAATTCTAACTCGGATTTCAATTTTATTTTGCATAGATGGAACGAGTTCGTCGTGCTCTACAAAATGATATCCATTTTCAATATTTTTTTAGAAAAAAAATTCATACCTCTCGTTACCAACTCCATACCATATGGTATCTCCTTCATTTTTTAGTCGTTTTCCGAAATTTTCGCACAGAAGGAACAATTTAATCATGATCTATTGGATTTCAAAAATTTCTGGGTGAAAAATTTTATACCTCTCGTTACAAACTCCATAGCATACTATACCACCGTGGTATGAGGTGATATTTTTCATATCATATGGTATGCTCTTATTTAATACCAGTCAATATCATATGGTACAGTCAATACCATATGGTATAGATTGGTGATAACTGACAAATTTTTTTGTTCCAAAAAATATCAAAGTGGATATCATTTTGAAGAGCACAATTAATATGATCTAACTGTGCAAAAAAAATTAAATTCTGACTTAAAACGAGTGACAAATCATCCGTTAAAGATTAAGAAAAGGAAATTAAAGCTTTTTCGAGTAGAGAGAAGGAGGCGATGATGTGGCGGATTCTTATTGGGTTATACATGGGTTATTGCACCACAAGGTTACTAACTGGATCTGCTCTCAAGCCGCCCCTACTAGTGCCTCATAAACTCCTCACCCTTGGATCTAAATGTATGTAAATGAATGGATAAAAATAATTATCACAATAATAACCCTTTGAAGAGTTGCCACCCATCTTACAACATGTAACTAGTTCATATAATGTTTTTCAAACTCTTTAATCATTATATATTGTGAAATATGAAATCTCAAAAATTTATCAGCAAACAGGCTCATAAGCTATAGGTTGATTTGTTAATGCATTGCTAGTTGGTTGGCTTCGCTAACCACTTGTCAAGCTACCTCATGAGTGAAAAATGAGCCAACTCACGAGTTGAGCTCAACAAACCATGGAATCGAGCTAGCTCACGAGTCTCACGAGCTAAAAAAAGTGTAGCTCAAACTCTACTAATTAGTAATATGTCGAGTTTCAAAAGGACTTTTTCAAGTTGAACACCGAACTGCTCACAAGCAAGTTTACTCATTTGCAGCGTGGTGACGCTAGTGGTTAAAAGCATAAAATACGGGGTAAATCTTGGGAGCAGATTTGGTCAATAACCTTCTGGTCAATAACCATGCATAACCCAATCATCATCTGCCACATCAGTGGTTCTTTCTCCTGAAAAACCTTAAATTTCCCCCCTTAATTTTTAACGGACGATTTCTCACTCGTTTTAAGTCTTTTTTTTTTTTGCACAATTAGATCAGATTAATTGTGCTCTTCAAAATTATATCCACTTTGATATATTTTTTGAACAAAAGAATTGAGCCTTTTTTTATGAGTCTATACCATTTGATATTGACTGGTATTGAAATAAGAACATATCTATGATTTGAAAAGCGTACCATGGTGTTATGAACATACTAAGACTATAGGATTGTTGAATACATGATATTAGAAATATATTAACTGTCATTTATGACTTTTAACATTGTGTACCACAAGATACCACTACGTACCAGGGTGGTATGGTGTGGTATTGTGTGATATTTTTTGATCAAGTATTTTGTTCACCCAGAAACTTGTAGATCCAATAGATCATGATGAACTTGTTCCTTCGGTGCAAAAATTTTCAAAAACGAATTAAAAACGAAGAAGATACCATATGGTATGCAGTTGGTATCGAGAGACAAGAAATTTTTTTCTCAAAAATATTGAAAATGGGTCTCATTTTGTAGAGCACAACGATCTCGTTCCATCTGTGCAAAAAAAATTGAAATCTGAGTTAAAACGAAGAAGATATGAGTCAATTAAGAAAACAATGAAAAATAAAAATGACATTTAATTCTCCATTTTTAGATCGGAATGTTCTGAATAAAGGGTCCAAATTTAGTTACTGATTAGTGTGGTTATGGACTGTATCTTGAGCCGTAAATTCTAGTGATTCAAGATCGGGCCCGGCGGAATGAAATCCCAACAAATGAAGCAAGCCCATGGGCTCAAGATGAGACTCGAGACCTTTTGATCTCTAGACTAAAAGAACGGCTAAATTGCACGTTTGGTCACTCAAATTATATAAATCTTTCACTTTTGCCACTCGAATTATTTTTCTTTTTTATTGGCCACTAACTTTACGAATCGTTTCACCGTTAGTCACCAGCCGTCAATCTCTGTTAACTCCGTCAGTTTTTTTATGATATGTCAAACAGAATTGCTGACTGGACCGTTAACTTAATGACTTATCAATTTAAAAAAAAAAAAAAAAATTTGGCCTACTCCCCTTCCTCCAATTCCAACTCCCCCAACAAACCGCACCAATCTCCGCCAACGCCGCCCTCCTTCCTGAACCTGCCCAGCAAAAGAGCTCCTAGTATTGGAGACTCCAACCCCACGGGTTTCAACCGGCAGAGTCGGTCCGTCGTATTTCCGTCTCCAACTGCTGTCTCCGACCCACAACCCGGAAGCGTCTGGAAGAAAAGGGCAGCATATAATTGAGTAAATGTCAATGCCTTTAAAGTGATCGACGAATTGCTCATTCGAGTTCAGAGCGGCAGAAAGACATGACAAATTGCAACAAGTAGTCAGGCTGTGTTGTGTTCAAAAGTTTGTGAAACAACTCTCTCGCTAAAATGCAGTAGGGGAAGAAAAAAAATCAATAGAAGGACAAACCAAGATGTAATTGGTCCATGTTTACAAGAATGAAAGTTCATTATGGGGTTGGAAATTTCTGCAACTCTTAAAAAAATCCTCATTGAAATCTTTGCCTCTTTCACGCTGAGATTTGGCCGAGACCAGCTGCGCTCAAACTCCACCCAGATCCGATTCCAACAAAGTCATCAATTAAGTAGGTGGGGTCGTGCTATAAGTCTATAACCATCACACCCATTGATTGAAACAGGGTGGATCTTGAAAGTCTGGAGCTTCGGGGGATTCCTCCTTCGCGGCTGTGGCCCGGCCACGAGAAGCGTGTTCGTTGCCGGCGGAGCAGCCACCGTCTCGCCAAGACCAGTCACTACAATATCCTCTCCAGACCGTCGCTATAGCCTACGCCGGGAATCCACGTCATCGTCATTGGTCGCTGCACGCATCCGCAACGATCCGCCGTTGTCATCGTCCCCAGTTTCTTAAGATCTAGGGAAATCTTCCGAAACATAACCACCCAAAAAATCAAAATTAAAACTCTTTAAACTCATAATCAAAAGAAACACTTAAAAATCGACAAGCATTGAGAAGGATAGACCACTTATCGTTTTTGTTCGCTCACTGGCGATGAGAATAGAGCAGTGGCAGACTGAGATCGAGGGAGGAGGAGAGTGCAATTTTGGGGTTTTTATTTGTCTGTGTTTGATAGAAGAGGGAGACAGAGAATAGATTGAGAAGAGAAGGGAGAGACGAAGAAGAGAGGAGAAAAGGTGAGGAAGAGGGAGGAATCAGATGAGAAGCAGAGAGGTGGAAGGAGGACCAGTGGTGATGAGTTGAAGGAAATAGGAAATAAAAAATAAAAAATCCATTTCAGTAATTTATCAGTCCAGTCAGCATTTTTTTTGTTAACGGAGTCTAATGGAAACTGATGACCGATGACTAACAGTGAAATTATTCGTGAAGTTAGTGATCAATTAAAAAAAATGTAATTTGAATGGCAAAAGTGAGAGATTTATATAATTTGAGTAACCAAACTTAATTTAGCCCTAAAAGAACTGTGTAAGATTTTAGATTTCACACCCGAGCAGCTGCTTTTCTCCTGTCTGTGCCCACTGTTGCTTTTATCGATCGATCGATAGAGCTCGTCATCGATCGAACCAGAACGGAAATGGAGAAAGGAGTGAAGAGATGGATAGTCGACGTATCCGAGTGGAACCCATCTCCCAATGACTTCTCTCTCGCGCTCGCTGCTCTTCCTCAACTTGAACATTCCTGCATCACCAGGTTCCCGAAAATTCCCCAATCCCTTCGTCAATGTCGTATGATTAGGTTAAGTAATCGCTGAATTGTCCTGGGTTTATGTGATCGAAATGATAATTTCGTCTTATTAGGTTCGCTGTTGTGTGATTCGTTTATCTGCGATTGGAATTGTTGGAAGTAGATTTGTGAGGGAGGAAGATAGGAAGAGAGCCCTAGTAAGCCGACTGCTACAGTACTCCCTTGTCCGTGAAGTTCTGCAAATACCTTATGATGAAATTGTCATCAAACGTACATTGGAAGGAAAGCCTTATCTGGTAAATTATATTGAACTTTGCCATCTAGACTTCTTCTTACCCTGAACCTTTCTAATGATGCTTCTGTGGTTCCTTTTTATTCAGGAATGTGATAATGGAGTTCAACCTGAACTCCCCAATTTCAACTTCAATGTGTCCCATCATGGTGACTATGTTGCCATAGCATCCGAGCCTCTGTGCCTTGTCGGGATCGACATTGTTTCTTGTGACCTACCAATCAATGAGACGGTTCAAAGCTTCATTCAAGCCTTCGAGTCGTACTTCTCGAGATTCGAATGGGAGAATATAAACAAAGTAGGAAGCCCAGATGAAACATTGGCCGAATTTTACAGGTACTGGTTTTGTTGATTGTGCAAATCGGTCTTGGTGCAGAACACATGGAAATTTAGAAGCTCCTTTCAACTGAATTGATGATTTGTTAATAGCCACTCTCTCTCTCTCTCTCTCTCAACAAAACTCTATGCCGTTTGCTTTACTATTATGATGACCCATAGTCAAAGACTGTTTTCGGGCGAACCTTCAACATGAGTTCTCTTAGTGTAATGGGAAAAGCTCCGGTCTTTATGACACCATCATACTGATTTAGTATCTTGGTTGTTTTGGGCATCCAGATATTGGAGCTTGAAGGAAGCTTACGTGAAAGCCATAGGCAGCGGATTGTCGAACGGGATAGATAGAGTAGAGTTTCGGCATAATAACTGGATGAACATAAGTGTACTCATTGATGGGAAGCGGTGTAAAGAATGGAGCTTTTGGCTGCATGAGCTTCCAAAGAGACACTGGGTAAGTTTCTTCATAATAGACACTTCCATTTCTTGGTCCGTTTACTATTGCGGATTAGTTTAAAGCTATGACGAGGTTTATGTTGAGATTACGTGATCCGTCTTTGAATTGTAGCTGTCAATTGCCAGAGGCCATCCTAAGGCTGCTTGGGGAAGTTACAAGGCAACACTGAAACGGACGGAGTTTAGCCAAGAGGTGTATGAGAACGGTCTTCGGCTTCCAAATGCAGGAGTCGACACGAGAACTGTAGATCAACTCGTACGAACTTTAGCTCGTGCTAAATAAGCTGGTGCTGGTACGAGGAGTTTAACGTAAATGGATAGATGTTTCTACTGACCCATTCAACAACTGCGTTTTTGCAGCATGGATAGAAATTGTTGCATCATAGACTTCTAGGGGAGAAGAATTAGTTTGGAACTGGATTTTGTTGATAACTGAGAACAACTTTTTTAGTTTGATTTAGCAACTAATCTGCTTTATGTTTAAGGTTTCAAATTCGTTGTGCAAATGAATGAGACAAAGAAGCATACTTTTAGGTCCTGTTCACTTCCCATTCCGTTTTCAGTCATTTTGGTAACCGAAAACGAAATCTGGAGAAATGGAAGCTGCCATTTTGGCAACTGAAATCTGAAAATGAAAACTTGTTTAGCTGGGATTTTTTGTGAAACTGGAAACTGTAATCTGAAAATGAAAACCTGTTTAGTTGGTTACTAGACCTGAAAATGAGAATCTGTCAAATTTCCTGATACTAGTACATACTTCAATATCAAATAAGTCGAAGTACAATCACAAATGTCAAAGGAGTCCAGCTTGAAAGTCATCCCACAACTTGTCCGCTATTCCATCACGTCGAATTTCCATTTGTCGTGTCCGGCTTGAACTCATACTGTACTCTTCTCTTTCCAGCCCTCCTTGCACTCCATTAACGCCATCCTCCATATAATAATTTTGATAATCTTCAAATAGGATATCTTCACAAGAGTGAATCCTAATGAAGTTATGCAGAACACATGTAGCAATAACAATTTGTGCTTGTTTCTTTAATGAAAAAGAAGGCATATGTTTCAGAATTGGGAACCTGGCCTTCAAAACTCCGAAGCAACGTTCGATGACATTGCGTAGGGATGAGTGATAATAGTTGAATAATTGCTTACGAGTTTTGGGTCCACCACCTCGATTGATTTCTTGAAAATGAGTAGGCTCCTTTGTTCGATATGGTGCTAGGAACCCAGGCATGTTCGCAAATCCGGAGTCAACAACATAATACTTACCTACATTGTATATAGATAGTCAATTAGTATATAATAAAATGAGATTTATTTATGTACAAACAATAATAAGTACCTCGTGGTGGCATCGGAAACTTGTTATCTGGATTTGAAACTATTTCACTAAGAATTCTAGCATCATTTGCCGTGCCTTCCCATCCAGCCACCACAAAGGTAAAAAGCATATCGAAGGAGCATACACACACCACATTTTGAGTTGTTGTCATCTTTCGTCCTCGATATGGAATTTGTTCAGCAGTAGGAACACATGCATCAATATGCACTCCGTCTATAGCTCCAATGCAATCCTATGTAAACACAAAAGTGAACATGATCAACAGAAGTTGTAAATGTTGTAACATTAACTATGGAGTAAGTATTCCTTTACCTTGAAATATGGATCATGTCTAGAACCAACAATTTTGTCAGGGACGTTATCCAAATTTGGGGGAACAATAATCTTGTTCGAAAGCTTGACCACAGCTTTCAATACTTTGTCAAAGTACTTTGAGATGGTGGCCGTTGAATGTTGAAACCTTTCGGCAACGTCTCTAAAATCATTAGCGTGACCTATAGTCTTCAGGAAGATGCCAACTTGTTCTTCAACTGTGACTCTCTTCGTGGCTTTTAACCCACCATTTTGTTTCAACTCCTCACAAAGAGCAAGAAACGTATCTTTGTCCATCCGAAATTGCTCATATATCCTTTTTGGATTACCATGAAGAAGCTCTTTAACCCAAGCATGCCCAGTTTTGTCTGAGGTTCTGCATGGCACTTTTGACACATTGGATCTCTCTGTCTCCAACAACCACAAATGCAACAAGAAGTTCTGCAAATCATCATCGGAATCTGTATCGGAATCAGAAGCCATTTGTCTGCATTGCACAATAAGAACATACAATCAAACTTTATTGAAATTGTGCTTACACCATAATAAGATAATCGTTCAACTAAAACATACAACCACAATCACACAAATATTCAACTCAACAACATTGTTCAACTAAAAATACAACCACAAACATTCAAACACAGACAATCAAACAAAAACACTCAATGTCGGCGTCATACAATCACACCAAACCCTGCAGCCATTCCTTCTTTCTCTTCTCTGTCATGCGCAGAAAGAGACCACGCTTCAGTGGATTATCATGAAGAACATCAATAGCCTTGACAAACACACTACCATCCACCTCCATCTCATCTAAAACCTTCATACACTCTGTCATAATATCTAGGTCCTTGTCCTGCGAAGATACTTCATTCATTGGGCCTTTCACAGAAGATGCAGCAGTCTTGGCATCATTCTTCCTTTTAGCCTCCTCCGCCATGCTAATTATTGCCATCTCTACCGCAGTTGAATAGGTGGATTTGTTTGCTTTCCTCTTCTTGCCTTTGACCTTTGCTTTGCCCTTTGCCTCCGTGGCATGCTCTGTAGCATCACCGGCAACAACAAAACCTTCCTCATTGTCCTCTCTGCTTTGTCCACCACTGCTATCTGAGACTTCTTGAGTGGAAACAAAAGCATTGGTACCGGAAGCAGTAGTGTCACCAAATAGGATGCAAAGGTTGTTGTATTCTGGACAACCATTCTTCCTAAAGCCGGTAATACCTTTTATAGCCTACACATGAACGTTCTAATCAATTCTAAGTTCAAAATTGAAACATATATTTAATGAAATTGAACGAAATGTTCAATTACCTGCTTCGACCATTTCTCCCAACGATCATCAGAAGCGGCCACCTTTCCCGTTGCAGCAATGAAACTAACTCCCGTCTCACTAATCATGCCCTTGAAATCCCTATGCCTTCTTCTAAGTAGATTAAATTTGTTCTTCAATTGCTCCTCGGTATAGTCCTTGTTAAACTTACTCTTTAAACCATTTTTTATATTGAACCATCCTAATTTTGTGAATGTAGTAGTAATCTTGCTACCCTTCTTCACTTCCTCGACCATCAATTCAATCATATAATTCTTAACATGTTCGGGCCATACATCTTTTCCCTCTACCACCACACAATTATTATCATTGACAGCTTCTGTATTCTCCATGGGTCAAACTATAGAACAAACATGACAATAAACAAACAATCAACATGACAATCAGCAAACAATCAACATGACAATCAGCAAACAATCAACTTCTTCGGTATCTAATAATGAGCAAACTACAAACCCACTTCCTAAAGTTCAAAAATTTCTTCATAAAGAGCAGAACCCATGGCGTTCGAAGGTTTCAACAGATCAAGTCAAAACCACTGATATAATCAATTTCAAAGGAGAAAAAAAAAATCTCAGATCTGGAATATCCCATGCCATTAGAGACGTGAAAACGAAGATCACAGAGCAAAGTAACGAAAGCAAAAAGGATTGGCGGTTTCAAACTCGGCTGCAAAACAGAGAGAGCCAAAAATGGCGGTGGAATGGGAATCATGGAGCAGAAGACGAGAGGGAGAAACGGGATAAATACCTTGCGTCGTGGCGGAGGCGGCGGCGTCGGGAGAAGAAGAGGCGGAGGCGGCGTCGGGAGAAGAAGAGGCGTCGTCGGCGTCGGGAGAAGAAGAGGCGTGGCGTGGCGGCGGCGGCGGCGTCGGGAGAAGAATCGGCGTCGTCGGCGTCGGGAGAAGAAGAGGCGTGGCGGTGGCGGCGGGAGAAGAAGAGGCGTCGTCGGAAGTGTCTGGTCGCTGCCGTCGTCGGGAGAAGAAGAGGTGTGGAGGCAGCGCTTTTGCTGCAGGGTCTTGTCTTCGTTCAGCTGCCTTCGTTCAGAGGTGGTGAGGGCACGAGTAGGGTTACGCTTGGAGGAGGCTAGGGGCTGGATAAGAGTCTTCAAACCAAAAAAAAAAAAATAGATAAAAAGAGGTTGCTAGGATTCGAAGGGCTGACCTCATTAAAACATTTCGGAGAAAACGGGATGAAACCCGCCCCTTGGTTTCCAGGAAACCATTTTTTTTTGTTTTCGTCAGCTACCTCTTTTTCTTGTCAAATGGTTGCCACAAACGAAAACGAAAACCAAAGTGAACACGTTTTCTCTCTTTGTTTTTAAATTTTCTGTTTTGACAACAAAAAACAGAAAACGAAATTGAAAGTGAACAGGACCTTAGTGTCTCGGTCAACTGGGAAAGTGTCTATGACTATAATCTATAGTACAGTGGGCTCTTTTTGGGCAAGGTTTTAGTGGGCCGTCACATGTACACGAAAGTTGGTGGTGACGGTAGCTAGTTACTCTCCGTCGGAAACGCGGGCCAACTCGAATGAGGAAAGTCGTCTGGAATTACGTTGGTGCAATGGTACCAGTAAAACTAAAAATAAAGCTTACAAATTGAAATTTTTTAATTTTCAATCAACCAGTTTCTTTCTTTACCAAGATATATCGAGAATGCATAACTAATTACAAAATTTACTCCAACACACGTAATGATGATGAACTTTTATTAAGAAGAAAGGAAAAATCTGCAGTCAAAGAACAAAACTCCCACAAGGAGAGAGTGGACAACACAACAGGGAAACAAACTGAAAGAAAAAGGAAAACAATGGGAAAAAGCGAGTGAAATGAAACACAAACATACACGGATCACTAGAGAAAAACCTCCACAAACAAGTGTCAAGGAAAACAGCTAAAAACACCAGGCCTCCCCACAAAGAGCAGCTTCTGGAAAAAAAAAACCAGTAGAAGCTCAAACATTATCTTCCCCGTAGAAGAAGTTTGCCCTGCTCACTGTCGATCTTTTTATGGGCTGTAATCCACTCGACAATGACTCTCACTATCTTCTTAATGATCACCGAACAAGGACAAGAGGTATTCTGAAAGATTCTTTGGTTTCTTTCCTTCCAATAGCTTCTGGAAGTGTTTTCCCATCCGACGATATTGAGAGTCGTCGGATGGGAAAACACTTCCAGTAGCAGCACCCAACACACGACTCCAAACAATCTTGGTAAAAGAGCATTCAACCAATAAATGGTTGATCGATTCCTCCTCTATGCAGCAAAGTTCACACCGATTTGCAAGCTGGAAACCATGTTTCTTCATGTTTTTTTAGCAGAAACAATACATTGATTGTTTCTATGATGTGACAGAAACTATCACTCATTTTGAGTGATTGTTATATCTCAACTTTTAGTTATGATTGTTGAGATAGTTGAGTTGAGATTGTTTTGTCTCAGCTTTTAGCTGATGCCACATACACAATCACACATACCAAACGTTGTATTCTACAATGCATCAAATTCGACAATACATGTATAATATTATACATGCATTCTCAACAATACATCTATTTAACAATCGCAACTTCCAAACAACCCCGCAATTCATGTTTAAAAGTAAAACACAACAAACAAATTGGTGAAATAGTGTCATTTCCATAAAGCTCACATAGAGCCAGT